TTATAGCAGATCAACCAGCTGCATATTGGAATGGGTTTTGCAACTGTAAAAACAAATAGTTTCACCATAGCCAGACTCTTCAGACATAGACTAAATTTAGCATTCAATGAAAAGGTGACTTTATGTGTAGAGAATTTATACTTTGAAGCAGGAAATGGCCATTATTACCAAACCAGAATCTCAATGATGTCTATATGCCTATTACCATTATAACAATATTAGTTCTTAGTCCCTTAAGGGAATCATTTATACTCTATTTCTAATACAGAATGAATTCCGACAACTTGCTGTATTTGGTAGACATATGCTTCATTTCCTATGGAACTAACTTCAGGGGCCAGAAACTCTGATATAATCTGGAAATGAGCATTTGGCATATTCCTTAGTGATGCAACATTGCTTTAGAGAAATAGCTACACACAAGTTTCTCTACAGAACATGACACTCAGTTCATAATGACTATTTTCTAGCTGACCTTCCCACCTACTTCTAGTAATTACTTAAAGAAGTACAAACAGCTTTACTGAGATATAATTAATATTAGTTTGATGCATATATTTAGAGTACAATTCAATGTATTTGATGCACACAAAATATACAATTAAGGATCCATTTCCACAGTCAGAATAATGAACATATTTATTATTGCCAGTACTGATGAAAGTTCCCTTCCATCTTTTATAAATCCCTCCATCTCTCCTTCATCAGACAGCCCTTGATAACTGAACATACTGTACGTTAGCTTAAATTTATAGAATTTCATGGAAATAAAATCATGCAGCATTATTCTTTTTAGTCTGGTTGTTCAACTCAACATAATTCCCTTGGATCTACCCATATTGTTGCATGTATCTATAGTTCATTTTTTTTATTGTTGAATAATATTCTATTGATTAAATAAGCTACAATTTGTTTACTGATTTATATGTTGATGGACATTTTGGTTGTTTCCAGTTTTGCTACTACAAATAAAACCACTATGAATATTCAAGTACGTATACTTTTATGGACATGTGCTTTCATTTTCCTTGGTAAAAATCTAGAAATGACCTGGCTAGTTTGGATGGTTAGGTATACATTTACCTTTTCAAGAAATTAACCAAACGTCCAAAGTAGTATAGCACTTTATTTCACACTCCGTCCAGCAATGTATGAGAATCCAGTTTTCTCAGGTCCTAGCCTGCACTGAGTATAGTCCATCTTTAAAAATTTAATAGATGAAGAGATATTTCATTGTGGCCTTAATTTGCATTTTTCAAATAATGCTAAGCATTTTATATGCTTGTCATTCCTGTACATCCTTTTAAAAAAGTGTCTGTTCAAATCTTTTGCTTATTTTTAAAAATTGAGGATTTTAGTATTGAAATAGGAATCTCAGTATTTTGTAAACAAGATCTTTTCATCTTTATTGGGTTGTATAATTGACAAAATTCTATATGTTCAAGGCAACAATATAATGTTTGATCTATGTATACACTGTGAAATATTACCACAATAAAGTTAATTGACATATCTATTATCTCAGACTTACTTTTTTGTGGTGAGAAGATTTAAGATCCACTGTCAGCAAATTTCAAGTATATATTATTGTTGTAACTTTAGAACTTGGGAGAAAATATTTGTGAATATTAGAACTAGAACTTATTCATTTTATAATTGAGAGTCTATACCCTTTAAAAAGCATTCACCATACTCTTGTCACCACCACCATGTTAACCAACAGTCTTTACTGTTTCTGTTGGCTTGACTTTTTTAGATTTCACATATGAGTGAAAGTATTCATCTTTCTGTGTCTGGCTTACTTCAAGTAACCAAACCTTCTCCAGGTTCCTTCCTGTCCTCCCATTTAAGGCTGAATAATATGTTATTGTGTGTGCCTATTTATGTAATTCACACATACATTTTATCCATTCATCTATTGATGGATGCTTAGGTTGTTTTCATACACTGGCTATTGTAAATAATATTGCAGTAAACAGGAGAGTGGAGATATCTCTTTGAGATGATTCCTTTATTTTCTTTGGATATATACTCTGAAGTAGGATTGCTAGATCACACGGTAGTTCTATTTTTAATATTTTGAGGAAATTTCAAATTGTCTTCCATAGTGGCTGTACCAATTTACTGTCTTACTAACAGTACATAAGAGTCCTGTTTACCCCACATCCTTGCCAACACTTATCTCTTAACTTTTTAATAACAGATATTTGTATGTATGAAGTGCTACTTTATTGTGATTTGATTTGTATCTTTTGACAATTAGCAATGTTGTTATATCATATATCTCTTGTTGATATCCCCCAAAGCCTCATGTAGTCATGGGGGGGTGGGCTTTTTGGAGGCAGCTGAATTTAGAGTTTGTGACTGATTCATGGCTCATTGCTGAGATTCAGGGTGTGAGGGCAGGTAACCTGCATACAATATAAGGGACCAAAAGAGTTTCTCTCTCTCTCTCTCTCTCTCTCTCTCTCTCTCTCTCTCTCTCTGTCTTTGCCTTTGCTGTCTTCTATTGCCATGAACGGTTGCCCCTCTGTTATGTGCCACCTTGCCTTGGAGCCAGCTGATTATGGGCTGAAACTCTACAAATTGTGAGCTAAATAAACTGTTGGGAGAGAAGCTGTCCCTACCTTGGGACAAGACCACTGTTTCTCATTAGTTTGGCAAGGCCCCATGAGAAGTGTGCACAGCTCAGAAAGCTGACACACAAAGTGACTTGGCCTTCCCCTGAGATAATGTAGATACTTCCCCTCTTATTTCTTATGTAACCACCTAGGCACGATGTTTTGCAGAAGGTTGGACGTTCTTCCTGTTCTGGATCTTGCCCTTCCATTGGATTCTCCATAAACAGTCTTCTGCTGATTGTATAAATAAACACACTGCAGTTGTTGGACAGTCTTTTCTCCCATCAGAAGAGGGGCTCCACCTGACCTCAGCTTTCTGCATCTTGACTCTTGTCTTCATTTCTTCATCTTCCACCATCCTCCCTCCAGAGTTTAAAAGGCTGCACTAGACATGGCAATAAACCTTTCCCCCTTTAACTTTGGGTATCTAATATTTTGTCTCAGCAGTGAGAGAAAAGTAACTAAGACACCTATCATCCATTTGTACACCTTCATTGAATAAGTATCTACTCTGGTCTTCTGCCCATTTTAAATTATACACACACACACACACACACACACACACACATATATTGTAGATATAGTATATACAGCATACTATAGATAGTATAGTACAGATATAGTACGTAATACAGATACACATGTAATCATATGGTTGTATGTAATTTAGATATTAACTTTTTACAGAATATGTGGTTCACAAATATTTTCTCCCATTTTGAATGTTGTCTTTACAATTTGTTAATTATTTATTTTGTTCTGCAGAAACTTTTTAGTTTCATGTAGTCCTGCTTATTTTTGCTTTTTTCACCTGTAATTTTGGTGTGTTATCCAAAAAATCATTTATAAGACCAGTATCAAGGAACTTGCTCCCTAATTTATTCTTCTAGGAGTTTTCTGGCTTCAGGTATTATGTTTAATTCTTTAGTGCATGTTGGGTTGATTTTTACGTATCATGCTTTTCAAACACCATTTATTGAAAACACTGTCCTTTCTTGGTTATATAGCATCTTAGTTACTTTTCTTGTTGCTGACACAAAATATCCAAAATCCACAAGTTAAAGGATGAATGGTTTATTTAGCACATAGTTTGTACGGATTTCAGTCCATAATCGCCTGGCTCCAAGGCAGCATGGCAGGGCAGACAGGCATCACAGAGGAAAAACTGTGTATGGTGGGCAGAAGGTAGCAAAGCAAGCAAGAGATGGTCACAGTTTTTTCTATCCCTTATATCTTATCGAGGCTACTTAGGGCAGGTAGCACTCACCCTTAATCCTAGTGCCCTTGAGCCTAGCATCACTCCATGAAGCAATACCAGTGTCACACATTCTAGATGCAGCCACTTCTGAAAATGTCTCACTTATGACTGCATGAGGCTTTGGGGGACATTTAGACACAAGCCACAACATGTGGTCTGGGTGCTTTTGTTGAAAGTTAAGTTGATCATATATGAATGATTTTTTTTCTGGGCTCTCAGTTCTGTTCCATTGATCTACGTGTTTGTATTTATGCCAGTACCACACTACAGTGATACTTCAGTTCACAAACTTAATTTGTACTGCAACTTTGGCCGTGATGTGTTTGTGTAGGAAATATGGCCATGGTCATGACTGTCACCTGATGCAGTTTGCAAGCAAAAATAAAATTTTTCCAAATCCTTCTGTTTGTAAATCCAATTGTTTGCAAACATATGTGTTCCTGATCCAAGGTATCACTGTATTTTTATTACTGTAGCTTTGCAGTATAATTTGAAGTAAAGAAGTATGATGTCCCCCAACTTTGTTCTTCATTTTCAAGATTTTTTGGCTAGTGGGAGCCTTTGAGACCCCATATAAATTTTAGGATATATTTATTTCTTTAAAAAATTATTAATATTTTAATAGAAATTGAATTGCATCTGTGGATTATCTTAGGAGTGTTGGCCTTTTAACAAAATTAAGTCCTTCAACCTGAACCATTTGAATTTTTAAGTATTCAAAAGGTACTAGCATATTATTTGTGTAATCAAACATCAAAAGAGTTGTTAATGGAGAGAACTAGTACATTTCTCAGGGAAGGGCATGGAACTTGAATGGGTTGCAGTTATCAACTTTTAAAACCTGGCATCAGTTCTAAGGGGTTTGAGGGGGAAGATTAAGAGATTAAGAGAGAAGTGATTATCTGACTGTAGGTGTTCATGAAAATGATTATAGCTTAATTAAACTGAAAGTAAATTAAATGATTAGTTATTGACAAATTATTTAGACATGTAATGACATTATCTAAGCTGAGATATACTTTTATTTGGCTTGTTTTGCTCACACTGAAATAGATTTTAGTTCTATTGATAAAAAACATGGATTCTGTTAATATTGCCTAAAATTGTGTTTCTTTGAATAGGGAATCTGTTGGGTTTTATTTCCTGAAGATTATCTGCAAACATTTTAAGTCATCAGAAAATATTGGAAAAGCTCTATTGCTCTATGTTGACGTGTTTTTACAAAGAAAGGAAGACCTGCTTGCCAAGGAGAAGATTGAAGAAATCACTGTGGGTCAGTAAGATTTCTAGAGGTGTTTTAGAAAGGCGGTAATCTGTCTTTAATTCTAAGATATATATCAGAACAATATCAAAATATTCAGGTCAACAGATTTCTCCCACTTCCCTTTTTTTTTTCCTATTGGTCGTTAGCAGTGATGCCTTATCTGTCGAGATTTCACAAATTTCGCAAGCTAAAATGAGAAACTAAGTAAAAAAAAAAAACATCCTAAAAGTATAGAGAGATGTCTGAGCTTAAAGCTCATGTGTAGCAGAAAATTGTGAGGTTAGAAGCCTAATTTCATGTTTTCATTTTGATGTCAAATCAGCTGTGCGACTTTGGGCGAGCTAGTATCTTTGAAATTTGACTTATTGACAAAATTTTATTGTGGTATCTAATTATATGCATATCATCAAAGTGGTATAATATTTTAAGTAGATACATGAAGTACCTGTTTGCTCTCATGAGTTTTTTTTTTAACTTAGAACAAACTACATTTGCTGACTTTCCTAGAGGGTGAAAGATTCTTAGTGCTCTAATCAAGACTTTTGTGGAAATTAATGCTGTGTGCCAAAAGGGCACAAGAGGATAAAAAATTCTATTATGGTTTAAACTGTACCTTAATGTGCTAATGTATTTAACCTCAGTAAATGTCTAGACCAGAAATAATCAGACACAAGTTACAATGTAAACTAATAAAGTATGTCTGTAAGTACAATCTTAAAGAATTTTACAATGGCTTTAAGGTATAATTGGCCTTTTGTGTGAACACAACCTGACATATTTAGTACATAATAGTATAAACACTTCTTATTAATGATTTCTGGCATTGCTGTCTGCTCATTCACAATAAACTTATTAAGACACCAGATGATGATCTAATTTGGAACACGGAAAATAAGTTAAAAAGAGACTAGGCTGCAAATCTCTCACAGCCTGATGGGAGAATTACTGTGATTCAAGCAAACTGATTGTATTATATAATCAGTTTGGGTGGTAAACCTAAAACTGATGAAAACCTGTCTGAATTAGATTGTGTTTATAGCCATTTCTTAAAGATTATGAGATCTGAGTAAAGGTAACCTTCTTTAATGTAATTGATTTAGATTTTTGCTTTCAGAGCTTGGGGGCTATTGTTTTGTTTTTTCAGGTCACCAAACAGGAAGTCAACTGACAACAGAATTAGTAGGTTTGTTTCACAGCGTTCTGTGGACAAAAGCTGCAGGAAGTTTTAAGGTTTGGGAATAATCTACTTTCATTTTTTATATCTTTTCCTCACTACAATAAGTAAAACAGTGTGTTCACTGTAAAACTCAGAATATCAAATATCTAAGTAGTTTCTCCTTTTAAAAATACCATTTATTGACAAAATGTTGAGTCTAGGGTATTATAGACAGTGTACAAAAGTTTATTCAAAAACAGGAAGACATGATTTCTCTCCATTGGGAACTTACTTCACAGGGAAATGACATTACTGAAGTCAAGATACACAATGCAATTATTTATTCATTTACTGCAATGTTGGAGATCAAACCCAAGCTTTGTACATGTGAGGCAAGCACTTTGCCACCAAAGCACATGCCCAGGTCTGGAATACAATTTATTTCAATATGAGGGGAAAATTTTTTGAAGAGTTTTAATCTTTGGCGGGTGGAAAGCCAGTTTTCCCAGGACCATTTATCTCTCTTACTTTGAAGGTGTTTGGCTCCTTTGCCAAAGATAAGGTGGCTAAGTATGTCTGAAGTTGTTTCTGCATCTTCTAGTTTGTCCCATTCATCCTCACATTTGTTTTTAGTTTTTTTTTTTTTTGCCAGTATCATGCTAATTTTATCACAGTAGCTTTGTATTATAATTTCAAGTCAGGGATTGTGATCCCTCTGCCTTGATTTTGTTGCTCAAAATTGCTTTTTCTATTCTAGGTCTGTTCTGGTTCAGAATGAATTTTAGGATTGCTTTCTCTAATTCTGTGAACTGTGCTATTGTAATTTTGTTTGGGATTGCATTAAACCTGTATGACAGCTTTGGAAGTATGGCTATTTTCACTATATTAGTTTTTCCTACCCAAAACCAAGGGCTATCTTTCCATTTTCTGATATCCTTTTCAACCTCCTTTTTAAGAGTACTGTAGTTTTCAATGTGGAGGTCTTATCTTTCCCTATGCACTAAACTAAAATTGAAATGGATCAAAGATGTAAATATTAAAACAGAAACACTAAATCTGCTGGAAGATAAACTAGGTAGAACTCTTGAAGACATTGCTGTAGGCAAAGGCTTTATGAAGAAAACCCCGATTTCACAGGAACTATCACAAAGAATCAACAACTTATTAAAAAGCTTTGGCACAACAAGAGAAACTACCAACAGAATGAAGAGACAGCCCACAGTGTGAGAAAATATTTTTACCAGCTGTTCCTCAGGCAAAAGATTACTATCTAAAATATATAAAGAACCCCAAAAAATCAGATCCCTCAAATTTAAGGACTCAGTTAAAGATGGGCATGTAAAATGAATAGATGCTTCTCAGATGAAGAAGTAGAGCCAGCAAATAAATATATGAAAAAATGCTCAGCATTACTGGTCATTCAAGAAATGCAGTTAAAACAATGCTGAGATTCCATTTACTCCAGAAAAAAATGGCTATTATCAAAAAATCAACCAAGTACAAATGCTGGGGTGGGGGGATGAGTAGGAAAAGGAACACTTTTGTATGGTTGGTTGGAGTACAGACTGGGGCAACTACTGTGGAAATCAGAGTGAAGATTCCTTAAAAAACTAGGTAGTCCCCTTCTTGGCAAAATAATTAAAAGCATTAGACTGCAATCATGCATGCACATGCATGTTTATAGTGGCAAAGTTTGTAATAGCTAAATCTTGGAAACAGCTTAAATACTCATCAACCAATGAATAGATAAAGAAGATTTGGGTTTCTTTATACAATGATGTACTACTCTGCTACAAAGAAGGATAATCTTGAGACATTTCTAACTAACTAGATGCACCTTGAGACCATTATCAGGTTAATAATATCCCTTAGTTATTGCAGGCTAATCAGGTCCACAATCTCTGGAATGAGTGTACAGGGAAGGTTAAATAGAAAGAGGCAAATGGAATGATTTCAGGGCTCCAGGAGGATCAAAGTCCTCTCACAGAATTTGAGGTTCTCAGGGGCTAAGACCAAGACCTTCTGTGAGTGGCCCGTATTTACTTGGTTATCAGAAGGGAGAGGAGTACTCAAGAAGGGGAGAATTACTCAAGGACTTCTCCAAGTAAGGGATTAACGTAATCCTTATTAAGGATTACGTTAATCCACCCAGCGCTGAGATGCCTGAGGCTATAGTCTTTTTCTAGTTGAGATCGGATCCAGGTGTCCTTGGTTGTGACCTTGTCTTACCCTTTGAGGTTTTCCAGCTTCATCTGCCATTACAGGCCTTAGTAGGGATTAGTGACTCACAGAAGTTCACTTACTATGAGTTCGCTGTCCATTTCCAGACAAGGAGCCTAGGCCTTGGACAGATTCACAAGTGAACATGAAAAGCCAATTGATTAATTTAAGTCCTGCTCAGATCTTCTTTGTAGTGGTCTCCATCAGACCCCACTCTTAAGTGAAATCAGACACACATGATCAAATATTGCATGGCTTCTCTGACGTGAGAAACTGAAAGGGTAAATAAGGACCAAAATGTATAATAGGTATTGGGAAATGTGAAAAAATATTCAGATGAGAAGAGGAATGGGTGAGGGGAAGAAGGGAAAAGGAAAAAAAGAAAAGAAAGAAAAATGGAAACAAAGCTTTTGTAAATAAAAAGGGGAAGAAGGGCTGAAGGGAGGCGAGGAGATTGGGGAAGAAAGAAGCAAGATATACCATGTATAAGTATAAATTCCCTATGATCAATATTATCATTATGTATATCTAAAATGCACCAATGAAATAAAAAGAGAAAAAAATGTCATGAGGGCATTTGAGTCCCAAAACGGCAGACCAGTGAGTTCCAGCAACTTAGCTTCTCTAGGACAAAATGGCTAGAGTCTGGAAACAATAGCTTGGAGAGGAGCCAAAGTGAGTGGAGGTTACCTGGGGACCATGAGGTAAGTGACAGAGAAGAAAATAGGATTAAGTGATACAGAAGAAAAAAATCACACCTTAGAATAGAGACCTCTAAGTGCTGCTGACAGCACCTGGCTAGCTACCAGCTGGGAGGCAAAGTGAAACTAACTTTTTTGGTCATGGAGAACCAGAAAACTGCACTGGGACAAAAAGAATCTCCTGCAGCAAGGAAAACACGGGACATTGCTTCCAGAGCAGCCTTCAACAGTCAACAGTTCAGTGGACAAATCTGTGCCAGTGAGTCAGTCTGCTGATTCCACCATCACACCCAAGGAGAGGTACAGCAAGAGTTCCTAACCTAAGAACTCAGCCTGGAGCAGACTCTGCAAGAACGCCTGCATCCTGGCAGAAAGAAGTCCTGAGTGTGAGTTAGCTTCAGTACTGCAGTAAAAGATTCAGAGGAGTTATTGGGGTGTGAGCAAAGAAGCTACCTGGAAATCACATATGCACTAACTGGAATATTTAATGTATCTTCCCATTGGACATCCTATAGGTTTAAGATTTTGTATGTCTCAATTTATTTAGTAATGTGGGGTTATAATATATTCTTTTATGGTATCCACGTTTATTAGATTGTCACTTTTGTGTATTTTTTCCTCCACTTGGCACTGATTTAATAGGTTTCTATGTTCTCTTCCTTGCATAGCACCCCCATCTAGTTTCTTCACCTCAAATCCCCAAGACAACATGATTAACATACTTCTTTATTCTTTTTCCAAACACATAAATTTCACCTCCTAAGTTCTAAATTCCTTGTACTTAGCTCCCTGAAAGTCACTCCTCTCTTCTCTAGTATTATTCCTCAGTCTTCCCCACCCTAAGCCTTTGGCTATTCTATCTTACCAGTCTTATTGTCCTCCTTATCAGCAAGTTCTGATAATCACACATAAAGTAAGACACCTTTCTCTCATATCTCACTCTTGCCCCCACAAAATATCCTCTGAAAACTCTAAATACTAACCCTTCAACTCAACTAAAAGTACTTCAATAAAATCAGACCCCATGCCAACCTTTTCTTCTCATCTACCACTATTTTTCCCTTCAAACCTCTCTGTTAGTGTCTAACACTTCTCATCCAACCGCCTCCCATTCTCCCCATCCACCTCACCTACCTCATTGCAGAACAAGAAATAAGCTGTCATAGTGTACATAGAAAACAGACAAAGGGGGAGAAGAGAACTGCAAGGACTATCACATAGAAGTGTTATGAGATTGAATCTGTTCATGCTGTTATAATCAGAAGTAACTCTTCTGGCAAAACATAAGGATGTAATCACTTAAAGTAAACAAAAGAGTAAATACTAGTACATCACATAGAAAGCTGAAAATTATTCATGGGAAGGCAACATCTTAATAAAGCATTCCATATAAGCCACAAACTCTCCTCACTTTCCTAGTCCTGAACCTGTAGTAACCCTGCAAAAAAGGAGAGGAAAAAGACGGGGCCATATATAGTTTTGTATATACAAATATATATACAAAATATGCATATACAGAGATCTTTCTCTTTTTTGGGGGAGTACTGGGAATTGAATTCAGGACCTCATGTTTGCCAGGCAGGCACTGTACCACCGAGCTAAAACCCAGCTTGTCTCTTTCTTTCTCTCTCTCTCTCTCTCTCTCTCTCTCTGTCTCTCTCTCTCTGTCTCTCTCTCTCTCTCTGTCTCTCTCTCTCTCTGAGATAGATAGATGATAGATAGATAAATAGATAGATAGATAGATAGATAGATAGATAGATAGATAGGAAGACATAGGAGAATGGCTTGACAAGAAAATAGAAGATCTTCACCCCCCCCCAACTCTTTCAGGGCAGAGCAGAGGATCACAAAGGGAAAGAAAATAAATACAAAGTAGCAGAAATCTGTGAAAACTTTGGGTGAGGGATGAATAAAATAGATGAGCTCAAAACGAAAATGAACCAAATGTTTATGGCACTTTTATTCAATGTGCCCATGGTGAATTTCAGGGAAATACATAGAAAACAGGATGAGGTAACCAAAACAGTTAAAAATTTGACTGACAGATTCAACAAGGGTATGGAATTCTCAAAAAGATGTCTGATAGAAATACCTGAAACAAAAACTGTATAGAATTTACACATTGCAGGCTGGGCATAGTGGCACACAAGAAG